TTTATTAATATTAACTCAATTATGCAATGAATTTAGACAAACAAAATTTAAAATTTTATACATTTATATTAAATTATATATTATTATATGTGTTGAGCACAAAAAAAAACGATGGGTAGGGTTTTCGAGAATGGGCCTACCAAATTAGGTTAAGGTTTATTCGAGTTTAATGGGCTTTCAAAAAGTCCGACTATAAACGTTGTTAAGGGAAAAGCTTCCTCGGGAGAAGGCAGAGATCGGGTGTAATAAGGTTGGACACAGAGCTCAGGTACGATAAGGTCGGGTGCGGAACCCAGGTGTAATAAGGTCTGACACGGAGCTCAAGTACGATAAGGTCGGGTGCGGAACCCAGGGGTAATAAGGTCAGACACGGAGCTCAGGTACGATAAGGTCGGGTGCGGAACCTAGGGGTAATAAGGTCGGACACAGAGCTCAGGTACGATAAGGTCAGGTGCGGAACCCAGGTGTAATAAGGTCGGACATGGAGCTCAGGTATGATAAGGTCGGATGCGGAGCCCAGGTGTAATAAAGTCGGGCACTGAGGTCGGGCGTGATCAGGTCGGGCACGGAGGTCGGACGTGATTAGGTCGGGTGTTGAGATCGGACGCGGTAAGGTCGGGCACAGAGGTCGGACGTGATAAGGTCGGGCACTAAGGTCGGGCGTGATCAGGTCGGGCAGGGAGGTCGGACGTGATCAGGTCAGGTGTTAAGATCGGACACGGTAAGGTCAGGCACAAAGGTCGGATGTGATAAGGTCGGGCGCTGAGGTCGGACGTGAGTAGGTCAGGCTCGGAGGTTGGGCGTGATAAGGTCGGGCAGTGAGGTCGAACGTGATCAGGTTGGGCTCAGAGGTCGGGCGTGGTAAGGTCGGACAAGGAGATAGGGCATGATAAGGTCGGGAACTGAGGTTAGATGTGATCAGGTCAGGTACGGAGGTCGGATGTGATAAGGTTGGGTGAAGCGAAGTCAGGCAAGTCGGGCGGTTAAACAAGTCAGTTAAGCGCTGTAACTGGTGAGAGCGGTTGGTGAGTCGGTTAACACACGTGTCAACAGAGGAGAACCTGGTGGGCGGTTGACAGCGGTTGCTGTAACCGACCAGTCTTTAGTTTTGTTTTTTTTTTCTATTTAAATTATGTATCCTACAGTGTTTAGAGATTCATAATCTCAGGCACTAATTATATCAAATTCGAAGATAATTTCCTATTTTCTGATTTTACTTTTTATTGTTGAAAAATCGCATCAACAATTTGGCGACCACAGTGGGAGAAATGCAAGATTGCTTACCCTACATCAACAGAGAATTTCATACGACTGAGGTCCGGGCAAATCATCGGAAGGATCCATATGGCAGGCTCACAGCCTCAAGCATCTTCAGCACCGGTGGGAGAAACTGTTTCACCACCTGTCATGCCAAATGCAAGGGAAACACTTCAAGCACCTGCTGACTAGGTGTCCTATGTTCAACAATTGAACAATTAGCATAATCTGGCTATGCAAAACATGTTGCGTGAGCAACAGATGTTGTGGGAGCAACAAAACCTTATGCAAAATATGCTAAATCAGGCGTTATCAAGGGTTACTCTGCAACCCACCCAGACACCGCCAGAGTTATCACCATCCAGATTACAGGCAAATTTTGCGGGGCCCTCTTACGTGGATAGCACTTTTCCAAGTGCTACCGCCACTAGGGTTGACAGGGGAAAGACTCCTCTCACATACCCAAACAATGTTCCACTGGGTGTTAGAGCCGAACCAACCGATCCCAAAGAAGAAAGATTGGGAGGACAGACTCACAATCCCATTCCTGTATTTGATCCTGTTCCGCCCAGGGTAGATCCGGAAGACATTGCTCAAGTCTTGAGAGTGAATTTTGGAATGAATCCTCAGACGGTCAATAGACCGGCATATCAGAGGCCATTCCCAGAAAGAATCATCAATGAGCACCCCCTTCCGAGAATTACAGACCACCCGACTTTCATTCGTTTTCAGGAAAGGACGGAGCATCAACCATTGAGCATGTGGGACGCTTCATGGTTCAATTGGGGGAAGTGGGCAATAATTCGTTTTACAAATTATAGTTGTTTGGAATATCGCTCACAAGAACCGCGTTTTCATGGTTCGCTAATCTGCCGCCAGGACAGTTGCAAACTTGGGAAGGTCTGGAGGCTGCATTTCATGCAAGATTCTTTAATCCGCTCCCAACGGTCTCACTCACAGACCTCTTAGAGATCCGGAAGATTCTAGAAGAGACTGCTTACAAATTTATAGAGCGGATACGTCTAATGAAGGGAAGGTGCCCGACAATCATTGAGGAAAACGAGATGACCAATTTAAGGGTCAGGAATATGCATACCAGACTACGGGAGGCATTGACAGCCCACGATGTTCAGGACTTGGCCAGTTTGGCTTCCAAAGCAGGAAAGTTAGAATCTCTTTTTAGAGAAAAAGATCATAATTTCCGACGGAACAGGGTCCAACAGATGGCCAGTGTTGATACATAAATGTATGCACCAGACGATGAGCACGGAAACATCATTGAAGAAATGGCGGCTGAAATTGTAAGCGGCAAGCCTTATGTGTGTTCCAAACTAAAGCCCCTTCCGGGGACAGAAGAGAAGGAACAACCGACCTTCGATGCGTCTAAAGCAGACGAAATTTTTGATATTCTGCTAGCAGACGGGCAAATTCGCATTCCAAAGGGCAGCTGCCGTTTAGCAACGAACAAAGAGATAAAAGGAAGGCCATACTGTAAGTGGCATAATTCTTTACACATTACACTAATCAATGTACGCATTTTCGAAATGAAATATAGAAGGCTATTAAAGCAGAGAGATTCAAGTATGTAACAATGGGAGTGGAGCACCAGCCATTTCCAAAGGTAACTACTGTTGTGATCTCCCTGCGCTCTTCACAAGATACGCCAAGTGAAGATGAAGAAAATACCAAGCGAAAAGAGCGTAAGCCCAAAGAGCGGGAACACGATCAGGAAGACAAGTTCAAAGTTTGCGAAACCAGAGTGGCAGAGAAATGGGATAAAAAAGATGGATCCTTCGAAGTGGAATTGAAGGACAAAGTTGTAGTACGAGATCGACCAACGCGCAAACTACAGCCACTCCAAGACAAATGGAGCCGGAACAGAAATCCTCTGCCAGTAGATATAGATCCCCGATTTCCATGTATGAATCGTACACAAATCCGTAATGCTAAGCGCAGGTATGCGGCTCGGCATGGAAAGCAAGCATATAAAAGGAAGGAGAATAAGGAGTCGTCACCCAAAAGGAAAAGCTCGAGCGACCGACTACAGGAGCACTGGCAGACCGAAAAACCTATCAAGAAGTCCAAGTATTTTCGGTGTCAATTCTGCAGACGGATCAACATTGATCCTGAAATAGAAGATGCTGAGGAAGAGACTCCTGAGATAGTCTTTGGGTCCTTTGCTCCAAAAGAAACGAAAGTGTTGCGCAGCAAGATAGTGAAGATTGATAAAGCCGGGTTCAAAGTCAGGATGACAGATATGCGATGGTTCGACGACGAAGAAGAAGAGCCCATCTGGGCAAAGTTCGAGGAAGAAGAAGAACCAGAGTGGGCGACGATGACTGGCAGACCCCCACCTATGGTTTTTTCGCCTATTCCAGAAGGAGCAATCCAGCACTTAAAACCACTGTATGTTAACGCTCACATATGTGGTAAGCCGATTAACAAGGTTTTCATTGATAATGGGGCCGTTTTCAACGTCATGTCTCTTAAAATTCTGAGAAAATTGGGCAAAGAGATTGGCGACCTGTCTCCAGTAGATATTGAGATGACAAGCTTCACAGGACAACCAACCAAACCAGAAGGGATGATGGTCGGACCCATTGAGGTCGGACCAAAGGTGATTTCAACAGTATTCTTCGTGGTAGATGCCAATACTACTTATTCGGTCTTGTTGGGGCGAGACTGGATTCACGCTTCCAAATGCGTGCCTTCTTCTCTCCATCAACATATCATGTTTTGGGAAGGAGACCAGGTATTCACCATGGAAGCCAGTACCAATCCGTTCGGTTCTACAAAAGGTGTGGAAGAGTCGGTGCTTTATTCAGAGTATGTACCGCCGATTTCACGGAGAACTGTGGTAGACGAGTATCCCTGGAAGGGCTGTAGGCTCACTGCGTAGGGTTATGTGTTTCATTAGAAACAATCTTCTGTATTATGGCTCTGTTGTTAGCCAAAAAACTTTTTATTTATTTAAGTTTAATTATGGAAGAAATAAATAAATGTGATAAGCTGATTAGGCAGTTTTATTTAAACCAATTAATGGTTAGGTTACATAATAGTGAAGGTTTCAACAATAATGTTGGCGAGGGAAAAGGTATTTGCTGGCCTGATCGCTTGGAAAAGACAGAAACTTCTTTGTCGAGTCAGGATCCTCTCATTGAGTATAATGTAGGAACCGAACAGATACCCAAGATGGTCAGGATAAGTGGTTTATTGTCAAAAAACCAACAGGAGCAAATGGTAGCGTTAATTCGGGATCATAAGGAGTGTCTGGCATGGGATTACTCCGAAATGCCCGGATTGGCGCGCAATTTGATATAACATAGGTTGCCTATTAAGAAAGGGTTTAAACCGTATAAGCAACCACCAAGGAAAGTGAGTCCAGAATTAATGCCCCAGATCAAAGAAGAAATCGAGAAGCTGTTGAAGGTTGGATTCATTCGACCATGTCGATATGCAGAATGGTTAGCCAATATTGTTCCGGTAACCAAGAAAAATGGAAAGATTCGAATCTGCATTGATTTCAGAGATCTCAATCTCGCCACTTCAAAAGATGAATATGTCATGCCCATAGCAAACATGTTGATCAATTCGGCAGCAGGGCATCGAATTTTAAGTTTGATGGATGGACAGAAGAAGAAATACCCAAAACCGCGTTCAGATGCCCAGGAGCTATAAGAATCTACGAGTGGACGGTTATGCCATTCGGTTTAAAGAATGCTGGAGCAACCTACCAACGGGCAATGAATACCATCTTTCATGATCTGATCGGCCAGTCAATTGAGGTATACATTGATGATGTGATCATTAAGTCTACAGACTTTGACACACATCTGGTTGATTTAAAAAATGCTTTTATACGGTTGAAGCAGTACAACCTGAAAATGAACCCAACAAAATGTGCCTTTGGAGTTTCGGCAAGGAATTTCCCGGGGTTTTTAGTACATGAAAAAGGGATAGAAATTGATGGAAACAAAGCCAAGGCTGTTCTGACAATGCGGTCACCTCGGTCGGTCAAAGAAGTGCAAAGTTTTTTGGAAAAGGTAAATTACCTAAGGCATTTTATATCAAATGCTGCAGGGAAGTTAAAACCTATCACAAAGTTGCTACGGAATAAGGCGGCCAATTTCTCTTGGGGTCAGGAGCAGTATAAGGCATTAGAAGAAATCAAGCAGACGTTAATTAAACCGCCTGTCTTGGTTCCCCCAAGAGGAGACCGACCTCTTCGGCTGTACGTTGCGAACAGCTTAGATGTTGTTAGTAGTCTGTTGGTGCAAGAATGGGAGGATGGTAAGGAAAGGGCTATTTATTATTTAAGCAAAACTTTGGCAGGACCAGAGTTGAATTATAGTATGCCCGAAAAAATGTGCTATTCTTTAGTTTTTGCGTGTACTCGGCTGGAGCATTATATTTTGCCAAGAGAAACCGAGGTGGTTTCTAAAATAGATTTGATCAGATTAATTCTGCACAGACCAACCATGCAGGGAAGATTAATGAAATGGGCCATCAAGTTGGCTCCTTTCGCGTTGCGACATCGACCTATCAAAGCGGTGAAAGGGCAGGTTGTAGCCGACTTGTTGGCTGAATTTGCAGGCAATGAATCATTGGAAAACAAAGTAGTGCCATATATAGGCACCAGTCCTTGGAAAATATTTTTTGATGGTTCTCGTTCAAAAGGAAAGTCAGGAGCAGGAGTGATACTAGAAGGACCATGAGCCAGTAAAATTAGTTTGCAGCTTCAAATGGAAGAGATGACTCATAATTCTGCGGAATACGAAGCATTGATTTTGGGTTTGGAAGCACTTATCGCTAAAGGAGTACAATCGGTCCTAATTTGTGGAGATTCTCAACTGGTCATCAACCAGGTGTTAAAAAGGTACGCTTGTAATTACCCTCATCTGCGTCGGTACCGAGATTTGGTATTCCATCTATTATATAGAATTGCGGAGGTAGTTTTCGAGCATGTACCAAGAACAAAGAACCGGTTGGCAGATAATTTGGCTCAGAGTGCCTGCCAGCAAATGATCCGTAGCATTGATTCCGGGACTGATTGGAGAACAGAAATTATGGTGTATTTGCAATCACCAAGTTTTGTAACTCATGTGGGCGTTCGATTGAAAGCTTTACGTCTCCAGCTTATTGAAGGGATTTTGTATAAAAGAACCTTTGAAGGAGTTTCATTGAGGTGTCTGGGGCCTGAGGAATCCATTAAAGTAATGGGAGAGGTCCATGGTGGAATTTGTGGGGCGCACCGAGCGGGATTGAATATGCGATGGGCAATTCATCGTATGGGATTTTATTGGCTAAAGATTTTTTATGATTGTATCAGATTTGCTATGGGGTGCCAAGAATGCCAGAGACATGGTCCGTTAAATCATCTGTCAATAGTAGAATTACAGACGATGGTTAAGTCGTGGCCATTCAAAGTCTGGGCATTGGATGTAATTGGGAAAATTCATCCGACCTCAATGAAGCAACATTCATTCATTCTGGTAGCGACTGACTACTTCACCAAATGGGTAGAGTCAGTTCTTTTGAAGAATGCGACGCAGAAAGAGGTGATCGAGTTCGTGCTTAATTACATCGTGTATCGGTTTGGAATTCCGCACACGCTTACAACCGATCAAGGGTTGATGTTTACTGGGGAAAAATTTGTTGAGTTTTTGGCCGAATTTAACATCAAATGGCATCATTCTTCACCGTATTACCCACAGGCGAATGGGTTGGCCGAAACGGCAAATAAAATCGTTATTGGCATCATCCGAAAAATGGTAGAAGAAAATCCAAGGAAATGGCATACATTGTTGTCTCAGGCATTGTGGGCCCACCGAAATAGTAGAAATACTTCTACTGAATTTTCCCCCATACCAATTAACGTTCGGGCAAGATGCTGTTTTACCTGCAGAATTTGTTGTGCCTTCACCCAGAGTGACTAACACAACAACGTGTATTGACGAGGCGTATGCACAAAGGATGTTGCAACAATTGGAAGAAGTGGATACAGATCAATTAAATGCTTTGGATCAAGTGATTAGACAAAGTGAGATTAGGGCGAAATACTATGGAGAAAGAGTATTCCTTAAGGCTTCTGCAGAAGGAGATTTGGTCTGGAAGACAATTCTGCCTATCTATAAGAAGGTGGATCAACTAGGGAAGTGGTCTCCCAATTGGGAATGTCCTTTCGTCATTCATAAAGTAATTGGGAATGGAGCTTTTATTGTCATAAATCAAGAAGGAAAGTTGGTACATGAGAATATTAATGCTCAGTATCTGAAAATGTATTACCCTGCCTTTTCAGGTCATTGTCATTAATTCTTATTATAAAATTTAGGAACCCTTTAAAGGTTTCGAACCTATTAGAAAAGGGTTCTTTAATCATCAGAAGGGTAGAGGTCTTCTGGGTCGGAGGTTTCATCCCAACTCGCAGAAATCATTTCAGGTTCTTCATCCAAGAGGTCGTCCAAGTCCAGGCGGTAGCGATCCCACTGATCTTGCATATCTTGAAGATCTTGTTCAATCCGGGCCTTCATATTTTGCAGAGACTGATTCTCTCGTTCAACAAGGACGCGCAGTTTGGAGAGTGTTGATCTTTGCAGTTGGAAAATGTTGTTCCAGCTGAGGTCTGGGAGAATTGCAGATACATGATGGTCTATCATGTCCAGATGATGATCAAGATCAGATATACGAGTGAGTATGTTGGTGAAGGGTTCATATCCGGTGGATATACGCTCCATCAGTCGGATCGTATGATGTATGGTTCTCCTGCCTCTGCCGGAGAACCTAAATTTAAAGTCTAGTTGTTTTAGTACCTGTATCAGGTCTTCAGCATGATGACATATAGGGTGTTTTCCTACTATGAATGGTTGCAGAGAACCTTGCCAGTTGGACGAAGGGACGCGAATGCAAGGAGAAACCATTTTGAGTGATGACGTGGGGGATGATGATGATGTTGCATTGAGAGCTGTTTAGAGTTGCTCGCAGAGACTCGTTTGAGTATGGCAATGTGCCTCCACCAGGCGACTCCCTTCCTGAATGCTGTCATCCAGGGACTTCAGTTGTTTTTGGAGGCGTCTAAGTTATTCCGTTTTTTGGGAGATCTAAGTCGCTAACATGTGCCGCGCTTGTCGGAGTTCATCCAGCTTGGCCTTGGCAAGACTAAGGTCCCGATCGACCTTCTTCAAGTTTACCTTAAGACTGGCTAGGTCAGCAGTCGGATGGGATGAAGTGGCCTCGGATGATGAGGAGTGGATCAGGGGCAGTTCGGCCTGAAGTTCGGTGATCCTGGCCATCATCCGATCAAGGACGGGGGAAGCTCATGATTCCAAGGTGGGCTGAACCAACAAGGTTATTGCGACCTGACTAGAGCCGAGAGGTCGGCTAAACTCAATTCGACAAAAGCCAAGTCGGCGCAGCATTCCACGATAGACCTGACGAAAGTCGGAAGCTCCACTCGGGCCAAAATATTCATTTCTTGGGCAGCCTAAGGGAAAAAAAAGATATTAAGTTAGAGAGACATGGTGAACTCATTATGAGGTAAGGTTAAAGTTTACCTGATTTAGGGCGGACGTGGCTTCAGAAGGGGCCATGAGTTGAAACGTTGTGGAGGCACCATGGTGAGTTGTCGGGCCAGCAACCGACTCATCCCCTGGTTGAAGACGGTGGGCGACGGCCAGTTCCATTCCCTAAACGAAGAGAGTTAAACAAGGAATAAGGGGAGAAATTTAGAAAATGGATAAGAGGGCCACTAACTGAACCCCTTGGGGCAAAATTGACCGAAACCTCGCCCGACTTCGAGGAGAAAATCTCTTCTATGTCGTGCGGCGGTGGGATCGGTTGGACTGGCTGAGGAGCAATAAGAGGAACCTCATCGACTGGTTGAGCGGTTGGTTGTAAGGGGAGCGCGGCAACAAGTTGGTCGGGGGGTGCCACGACTGGGTCGGGTAATTCTGCGACCTTGTCAGGTTCGGGCACCACCGCAATCGCAACAGGTTCCTAGTTTGGAATAATATACAAGTGTCAGAGTTGTTGTAAAAGAATAATATGGAAAGATTCTGGAAGTTACCTGTGATAGCTCCACAACCTAGTCGGGGAAAGCGACGAGTTGGTCGGGCGTCGCCGCGACCACGTCGGACGCTGGTAGTGGTGGAAGAATAATTTGCCTTCCCACCGGTTCCTCCGGTCGGTGTACCTACAGAAAGAAGAATTGAAGTTAATGGTTGAAGTAACTGTTCTCTTTTCTTAAGAATGTTGGGAAATGCTTACCTCGACTTGCTGGGGAGTTGGTTGTGTGATGGTCGGTTGACCAGCGATCGGGAGGTTTTCTGGAAGATCTACCGATTGAGCAGGTCGTTGGTCGGTTGGAGTCGGTTGGTTTACGATCGGAACCATGGTCGTTTGGTTTACAATCGGGACCACGGTCGGTTGGTTTATGGTCGGGACCGTGGTCGGTTGGTTTGTGGTCAGGACCGCGGTCGGTTGATGGGTAGTCGGTTGGTTTACGGTTGGAACCACGGTCGGCTGGTTTGCGGTCGGGACCACGGTTGGATGGGTTGTGATCGGGACCGCAGTCGGTTGGTTTGCGGTTAGGATCATGGTCGGTTGGTTTGCGGTCAGGACCACGGTTGGTTGGTTTGTGATCGGGACCGCAGTCGGTGGGTTTTCGGCCGACACCGTAGTTGTTTGATGTGTGGTCGGGACAGCGGTTGACTGAGAAGAAGTTAGATTGATAGGTGATTGCGCCATAGTCGGTTGAGATATGGTCGGTTGATGCTCAGTCGGGTGAGAGATAGATGGGGCAAAGGTCGGCAGCAACGAAGGACCTTCTAAAATAAGAGTTGTTTAAGTTTAGAAGAGTTTGCAAGGAAAATGAAATATGGAAGGAAACAGACTTACCAAATTGTTTCCTCAAGTATTTAGGCATCCCGCTGGTATCCACTGGCAGAGATGTCAGGTACTCCTCGATGATCTGCCTATCAATTACAGGGGCGGCCTTCTACTTCTGCTTCTTTGCTCCGGATCCGCCTACAGCAGGTGCCTGCCTTTTTCTTCTCGGGGCGGTGGCTAATCGAGGAGAGCCCAGCACCAAGACTAGGGGTGGGGCAAGCTTTCTGACTAATTGGTCGATCGTGGGAGCAATCAAAGACCAGGTGGCCAACCACCAAACAGGAAATGATTTGGTCGCCGAAGGTTTTAAGCATAAAGGTAAGTACGAATTAGAGATGATATAGTCGGCGAGTTGGGAAACATAGGTCGGGATAAGCTCGGGAATCACCAGCCCTTCTGGGCTTTGAGATATAAGGTGAGGTCGGGCCACTGGTCCCGGTATGCCCTGACAGCAACCGAACTGTCAGGCCAAAAATTGGGGCTGATAATTGTAAGTGTAAAATCATCTGCGGTTTTTCTTGTCCGACCTCTTACTAGAAAATAGAGATCAGGGTTTCATGGCGGAGTCCCAAAAGAAAGGATAGGTCGGATGAGGAAGAGGATCGGGATGAGTTTGGGGATGAGATGTGTCAGGATGAAGTAAAAGAAGATCAGTTGAATATTGTGTAAGAGTTTCGTAGACATAGAAGCGGGAATTGCTACGGTCCTCAGTAAGGATTTGGGCGATGACAGGGTCGGATGGATAAAGATAAGAGGAATTAGGGGTTAATCTGGCTAAGGCATAACCTATGGACCTGTAGGGGTTTCGGGCGATAGGAAGTCGGCCAAAGAATGCAGTAGGGAAGTACAAACGGAGCCACAATTCCACAAACCAGAATGGTCCCGAAGCTGCAGTGTCCGCTTTCTTGGTATCAGTTAGCCGGGTGCTCACTCGGGTTAAACCCTCAAAGAGGTTAGCCAAAAAAAGGGTTCCCAATGAAAAAAATTGGCCACAAGCCAATTGAATAGCCAAATCGACTTGGGTAGAGAGGACAAGTTTAGAAGGGGAAAGAATAATGTATCTGTAAAGAAAAGAAAAGAGATTCAACCAAAACATCCAACTTCGAAATTACGAAAGAGATTTCAAAAGGAAAAAAGTATACCTGCAGAGCCAGAAGAGAAGGAATGTTGTGTGTTCCAGTTCAGAAACAGAGGTGCCTTCCTTACCTTGATATTTGTTAACAAAATTAGTCCAGCCTCTTTTTTTCTCAGGGAGCTTGGCCAGGGCCCAACCAACATGGTTGGGTGAAGGCCCTCAACCCTCAAAAGAAAATAGAACAGGGTCATCGCCTACAATTGGCAAATGCGCAATGATGGCCACGTCCATCAGGGTCGGGCCAATAGGACCGGCAGGGAGGAAGAATACACCCATCTGGGAATGCCAAAAGGCCGCCATCGCTAGTAAGGCTTTGTCGTAAAGATAAAGAGGCTGCGTTGAAAGGAGTATGGCCTTGTCAATGCTTTGTTTTTTCCACTGTTCTTCAAAGTGAGGGAGAAGCCTCGCGTACCATTTACGGTAGGCGTCTTTTGGATAAGTGAGGTGAGTTCTGATACTGTCCAGAAGACGTTCTGGCTTGAACGCAGCATCGTTAACGATGATTGGAGAAACCTGAGAGATAACGGATCTCATACGATCAACATCTTCGGTGGTGGTGCAGTAAGAGCATACGGTAGGGGTAAGAACCCTCGAAGCCACTGAAGGCACTGATGGGTCAGCCCCATCGAAAGGAAGAGCAGGGACGTATTGGTTAGCCATTTGCGAAGAGGTGAAGAAGACGAAGAGGAAGAAGGTTTCAGAGGAGGCAGTTGGATGGAGAAACAGAGAAGAATTTTCAGAACTCTGAATGCGTGAATTTGAGAGGGTGAAGGAAAGGTTTTACATAAACCCCTTGATTTGACGCGAAGCAGTGTAATGATCACACTGTTCTGCAAACTCCTAAACGTCACGTCCCACGCAGTTCAATGAGTGACGTTTAGGAGTTAGGCGGGATGAGGCAAGTTGTTGAGCACAAAAAAAACGATGGGTAGGGTTTTTGAGAATGGGCCTACCAAATTAGGTTAAGGTTTATTCGAGTTTAATGGGCTTTCAAGAAGTCCGAATATAAACGCTATTAAGGGAAAAGCTTCCTCGGGAGAAGGCAAAGATCGGGTGTAATAAGGTTGGACACGGAGCTCAGGTACGATAAGGTCGAGTGCGGAACCCAGGTGTAATAAGGTCGGACACGGAGCTCAGGTACGATAAGGTCGGGTGCGGAACCCAGGGGTAATAAGGTCGGACACGGAGCTCAGGTACGATAAGGTCGGGTGCGGAACCCAGGGGTAATAAGGTTGGACACGGAGCTCAGGTACAATAAGGTCGGGTGCGGAACCCAGGTGTAATAAGGTCGGAC